GCTTGCTGCTTGCTGCCGTGATACCACGGCAGCGAGCAACTCCTGAAGCCAGCCAGAGCCAACTGTGCTAATAGGCTGGCCCCTCCTGGGCAAGGCTGCTGAGGCTGCCGCTGCCACATTTCCCAGAGAAAGATTTACAAATCTGGGGAAATTCCGGGGACAGAATTTGTCCAGGGACAGATTTGCAAATCCGGGGACTGTCCCCGGGAACCGGGCACATCTGGTAACCCTACAATAGGAGGTGCTACTGTCTCCTCCCACTCTTGTTTCCAACGTAGATCTTTATTCCTCACCTCTTGCATTGTTCCTGATGTCGATCTTAACTCAACCCTTCTTTCCTGGAATGGGGAGGCATAATTTTGTGGTTTGCCTCATCTGGCAACATGTCTTGGGGAAGCCTTGCCAAGGAGCACATTTGACCAGACAGGCAGAAGTGTGATTAGCACAGAAATCATAATTTAAAATATGAGATTTCCTGAACTCATCCAGCGCATCTCTCCTGAAACTGAACTACAGGCCAGGGCATGACAACTGGTCTATCTGTGTCTCCTATATGCCTTCAGACAGGGTGCCATAGACAGTGCCCCGTGCCCCAACCTGGCAGGAAACCTCAGTCATGCATACAACAGGCACCAGTAGTTTAAGGATAATACCTCCTGCCAATTGCTTATGCCCAACCCCCCAGAGTTTGATGGATGATGTCATATGATAAAATAGAAGGAGGAGAAGGAGGAGGAGGATATCCTGCTTTATCACTACCCTACAGAGTCTCAAAGCGGCTAACAATCTCCTTTCCCTTCCTTCCCCACAACAAACACTCTGTGAGGTGAGTGAGGCTGAGAGACTTCAGAGAAGTGTGACTAGCCCAAGGTCACCCAGCAGCTGCATGTGGAGGAGCGGGGACACGAACATGGTTCACCAGATTACGAGTCTACCACTCTTAACCACTACACCACACTGGCTCTTTTAACCCTTAACGCAGCCACAAATCACACGCAATATCACCGCTGAATATCTCCTCCTCGTGGCAGCAAACAATCCAACCAATCATGGCGTTTGGGGGGTGGGACAGTGTGGTGAAATATCAGCTGGTTGGCTGGCGTACAAATCCCCCAATGCTGCTTGGCCAGCAAGTGCTCTAAGGAGCGTTTCCTGCCCACAGTGCTGTGGTTTGGTCATGCTGACCACATGACCCGGAAAGCTGTCTGTGGACAAACGTCAGCTCCCTCGGCCTGAAATCGAGATGAGCACCGCAACCTCATAGTCTCCTTTGACAGACTTAGGACACTTGCAATGTGGAATTATTTATGATTATTATGGTTAATTAATAGATAGGTAAAGGGACCCCCGACCATTAGGTCCAGTTGTGACTGACTCCTGGGTTGAGGCGCTCATCTCACTTTATTGGCTGAGGGAGCTGGTGTACAGCTTCCGGGTCATGTGGCCAGCATGACTAAGCCACTTCTGGCGAACCAGAGCAGCACACAGATATGCCGTTTATCTTCCCGCCGGACCGGTACCTATTTATCAACTTGCGCTTTGACATGCTTTCAAACTGCTAGGTTGGCAGGAGCCGGGACCGAGCAACGGGAGCTCACCCCATCGTGGGGATTCAAACCGCCGATCTTCTGATCGGCAAGTCCTAGGCTCTGTGGTTTAACCCACAGCGCCACCCACGTCCAAATTAATAGATAGATAATGGTAAAAGATGTGGCAAATTACTTCATTGCTTCACCCCAGTTGCATTTGGATCTCTCCACCATTGGTTTGCATTCCAGAACAAAATGTGTCCCTCTTGCTCAAAAAGCATATTTATTATGTAAAAGGCATGTAATAAGTTTCCTTAAATTCTGTGACAATGAGCAGTGTCTGGCTAATTCAGACCATTAGTGCAAGGACAACCATATGTCAGGAGTGCTCTGATGGTGTTTCCTGCTTGGCAGGGGGTTGGACTCGATGGCCCTTGTGGTCTCTTTCAACTCTATGATTCTATGAAATCAATTTTCGCAGTATGGGAGAAATATAAAAACCTGTTAGAGCAGAAGACACCATGGTAGCTTTCCTCACTGGAAGCAATATCCTTGAAAAAAACTAATGCAAAAAGTGAATGGGCAACCTATAAAGTGTTGCTAATGGAAGTAGAACAACAATTAAAGTTGAAAAGATTTGAGGATACAAGAGCCCCCAGTGCTCCCCCCCCCAAAAAATGTTTAGGGGTACTCTCATTTTCCTACTTATATTGAAATACTGCTCCTCAATGTGGCAAAACTTAGATTCACAACATGTTTAGGAGTATGTGTGCCCCTGCGTCCACCCAGAAAAAAAGCACTGCACCTACCTTTGAGCATTCTTCCTCCTTCTCGGGAATGTTGGGAGATGTGGTGAAGTCTGGTGCAGCCTTCCCCATGCAGCGGAGGCCAGCACAGCCTTCCAGCAGGCCGCACCAAACCACCCACTTTTCTGGAAGCAGCAGAGGCCAGGCTGGACTTCTGGTAGGCCACATCAAACTGCCCACTTCTCCTGAGATGTGAGCGGCCTGGTGCAGCCCACCAGAAGGCCTGCCAGCCTACACTGCACTTCCTAGAATCATAGAGTTGGAAGAGACCACAAGGGCCATCGAGTCCAACCCCCTGCCAAGCAGGAAACACCATCAGAGCACTCCTGACATATGGTTGCCAAGCCTCTGCTTAAAGACCTCCAAAGGAGACTCCACCACACTCCTTGGCAGCAAATTCCACTGTCGAACAGCTCTTACTGTCAGGAAGTTCTTCCTAATGTTTAGGTGGAATCTTCTTTCTTGTAGTTTGGATCCATTGCTCCGTGTCCGCTTCTCTGGAGCAGCAGAAAACAACCTTTCTCCCTCCTCTATGTGACATCCTTTTATATATTTGAACATGGCTATCATATCACCCCTTAACCTCCTCTTCTCCAGGCTAAACATGCCCAGCTCCCTTAGCCGTTCCTCATAAGGCATTGTTTCCAGGCCTTTGACCATTTTGGTTGCCCTCCTCTGGACACGTTCCAGTTTGTCAGTGTCCTTCTTGAACTGCACCTCCTGATGCAGCGCAGAATGTTTCCTGTTGCAGCGCAGCTATCTTCACCTCCTCCTCTGGTCTTGGAGATGAACCGCCACAAGAGGAGGTCAAGGTAAGTTTTCCTTCCATTTTTTGGTCTTGTTTGTGGACTCGCACCACAGCGGAACCCTAAAACACCTGGCGCAACCAGTGCGAGGGATCAAAATTGGGGCATTCGGGATTGGGAACAGAAGCCGGGGTAGCTTCTGCCAATCCGTGATGTCCCAAATAAATCAGGATACTTGAGGGTCTCTGACCCCTGTGAATATGATTGTGAAAATGCTTTCCCGTATCCACTGTGAAGAACACTGGGGATAACGTGGATTCTCATTTGCCAAAATTTCATGGTGTTCCTGGAAAAAATTGCATGCAATTTCAAAATTGCTTTGTGTTCCAAGATCCCATCACAGGCTCTCTGGGAAAACATTCAGCCTCCATTTGTGCCCACATCTCATTAAACCAGTCCTTCGCAAGTGCTGCTTGAGGCTCCCATCCCTGACTATAAATTCCTCTGTAAGCTCATAGCTGTATCCATTGCCTTTTTGGGACCAGGTCTTCTTGAAGTCCTTCTCAGCTCTTGATTATCCCAACACCATGAGGATTCTTCTGTGCACAGGCCTCCTCTTGAGCTTGTTTTCAGTAGGTGAGTAGAAACCAGGGATTCTGTGTTCCATTAACTTCCTCTAGAATAGGGAGGGGGTCAGTGGAGCTAGAGAAAGGAGGTCAAGAACATCATGTGCTCCTGGATGGGGTATTGAATAGATGGATATTGGGATGAAGAGCAGGAGAATCTGGGAATCTTGGTGCGATGAGAAAGTGAATCATACAAGTTACCAAAGTCCCCTAACACTATCATAGTTATCTCTACACCAAAGGAGTGCAATCTAGGAATGTTGATGCCAAGCAGGCTCCCCCTGCTGCAAAGATCTCCTTCCTGTCAAGGAAAAGTCCCTAAATGGAGTGTTTTGATGTCATGGAGGGGTTGAACTGCCCCAGCCTCCATTGGACCCTGTTCTTGGGTGCTGTGGCCCCCTACCTCCACCTGCTGCACTTGCCAGCATGCTATGCTAGGGCTTGGATTGCTCCATTAGGGAGCAAATTGGGCATGCAGGCAAGGGGGTGTGGTGGAATAAAACTTCTCATTACATATTATTTTGCTTTTAATGAGCTATTGCTCCAGAACTGCAGTGGCATGTTATCCCCCCCCCCCCATTATTATTTTTTATTGATTTGCACAAAATAATATATTTTTTTAAAAAGATATTTATTTGGATTTTCAAAATATTACAAAATAAAAAGAGAAAAAAGAAAAATACAAAATAAATGTCTTTCATTTGCTTATTTCCCGGACCTCCTCACGCCTCCCTTTTCTGTATTCCAATTCAGTTTGTTAGTTCAGCAAATCCCTCCCCTCTTTGTTTATCCTAGTCTTCAGTCTTAAAGTATTGTAACATTAGATTTTTGCCTATTAATAGTCCATTTTTTTCATATTCCCTTATAACATTACAGCTAATAACCACTTAGTTTCTATCCAACATCATTCTAACATTCATTAATTTTACAATATTTCTGTAAATAGTCTTTGAACTTTTTCCAATCTTCTTCCACCAACTCTTCTCCCTGGTCTCGGATTCTGCCAGTCATTTCTGCCAGTTCCATATAGTCCATCACCTTCATCTGCCATTCTTCCAGAGTGGGTAGATCTTGTGTCTCCAATACTTTGCAATAAGTATTCTTGCTGCTGTTGTGGCATACATAAATAAAGTTCTATCCTTCTTTGGCACCAATTGGCCGACTATGCCCAGCAGGAAGGCCTCTGGTTTCTTTAGAAAGGTATATTTAAATACCTTTTTAATTTCATTATACATCATCTCCCAGAAAGCCTTAATCTTTGGGCACGTCCACCATGTTAATACTTATAATTTTAACAAGGTTATGATTTATGTTTGTTCGTCTGTTTATTTGTTCACAAAATTATAAACAAATAAACAGACGAACAAACATAAATCATAACCTTGTTAAAATTATAAGTATTAACATTGTTAAGTGACTTCCTCGCTTCCCCTTGGTTGAATTTCAATGTATATCCTTTTAACGGTTTTCCAAATCAGAGTTCTTATAAACTTAACTTAATCCTTTAACATAGAATCATAGAATCATAGAATCATAGAGTTGGAAGAGACCACAAGGGCCATCGAGTCCAACCCCCTGCCAAGCAGGAAACACCATCAGAGCACTCCTGACATATGGTTGTCAAGCCTCTGCTTAAAGACCTCCAAAGAAGGAGGCTCCACCACACTCCTTGGCAGCAAATTCCACTGTCGAACAGCTCTTACTGTCAGGAAGTTCTTCCTAATGTTTAGGTGGAATCTTCTTTCTTGTAGTTTGGATCCATTGCTCCGTGTCCGCTTCTCTGGAGCAGCAGAAAACAACCTTTCTCCCTCCTCTATGTGACATCCTTTTATATAATTGAACATGGCTATCATATCACCCCTTAACCTCCTCTTCTCCAGGCTAAACATGCCCAGCTCCCTTAGCCGTTCCTCATAAGGCATCGTTTCCAGGCCTTTGACCATTTTGGTTGCCCTCCTCTGGACACGTTCCAGTTGGTCAGTGTCCTTCTTGAACTGTGGTGCCCAGAACTGGACACAGTACTCCAGGTGAGGTCTGACCAGAGCAGAATACAGTGGTACTATTACTTCCCTTGATCTAGATGCTATACTCCTATTGATGCAGCCCAGAATTGCATTGGCTTTTTTAGCTGCCGCGTCACACTGTTGGCTCATGTCAGTGTGGTCAACCAAGACTCCTAGATCCTTTTCACATGTACTGCTCTCAAGCCAGGTGTCCCCCATCTTGTATTTGTGCCTCTCATTTTTTTTGCCCAAGTGCAATACTTTACATTTCTCCCTGTTAAAATTCATCTTGTTTGTTTTTGCCCAGTTCTCTAATCTGTCAAGGTCGTTTTGAAGTGTGATCCTGTCCTCTGGGGTATAGCCACCCCTCCCAATTTGGTGTCATCTGCAAATTTGATCAGGATGCTCTTGAGTCCATCATCCAAGTCGTTGATAAAGATGTTGAATAAGACCGGGCCCAAGACAGAACCCTGTGGCACCCCACTAGTCACTCTTCTCCAGGATGAAGAGGAACCATTGATGAGCACCCTTTGGGTTCAGTCAGTCAGCCAGTTACAAATCCACTGAGTGGTAGCATAGTCAAGACCGCATTTTACCAGCTTCTTTACAAGAATATCATGAGGCACCTTGTCAAATGCCTTGCTGAAATCAAGGTAGGCTACATCCACTGCGTTCCCTTCATCTACCAGGCTTGTAATTCTGTCAAAAAACGAGATCAGGTTAGTCTGACATGACTTATTTTTCAGAAATCCATGCTGACTATTGGTGATCACAGCATTCCTTTCTAGGTGCTCACAGACTGTTTGCTTAATGATCTGCTCCAGAATCTTCCGTGGTATTGATGTCAGACTGACTGGGCGGTAATTATTTGGGTCCTCTCTTTCCCCCTTTTTGAAAATAGGGACAACATTTGCCCTCCTCCAGTCTGCCGGGACTTTGCCTGTTCTCCAGGAATTCTCAAAGATGACTGCCAGTGGTTCTGAGATCACATCTGCCAGTTCTTTTAATACTCTTGGATGCAGTTCATCTGGCCCTGGAGACTTGAATACATCTAAACTAGCCAAGTATTCTTGTACTATCTCCTTAGTTATTCTGGGCTGTGTTTCCTTTGCTGAATCATTTGCTCCAAATTCTTCAGGTCGGGCATTGTTTTCTTTATTGGAGAAGACTGAGGCAAAGAAGGCATTGAGGAGTTCAGCCCTTTCTGTGTCCCCTGTTTGCATTTCACCATCTTCTCCTCTGAGTGACCCCACTGTTTCTTTGTTCTTCCTTTTTGCGACGAACATACCCATACAAGCCTTTATTGTTGCTTTTAACCTCTCTAGCAAGCCTGAGTTCATTCTGTGCTTTAGCTTTTCTGACTTTGTGTCTACATGTGCTGGCTATTTGTTTGAATTCCTCTTTGGTGGTTTCCCCCTTTTCCATTTTTGTACACATCCTTTTTTAATCTTAACTCAGTTAAAAGTTCTTTAGATAGCCACCCTGGCTTCTTTAGGCACCTTCCATGTTTCCGTCTCATTGGTATTGCCTGACGTTGTGCTTTTACTATCTCCCTCTTAACAAACTCCCAGCTATCATGAACTCCCTTTCCTTTTAGTATTACTGTCCATGGGATCTCACCCAGCACTTCCCTAAGTTTTATGAAGTCGGCTTTCTTAAAGTCAAGAAATTGAGTCCTAGTATGCTTGGCTGCTCCTTTCCGCTGTATAGTAAACTTCAGAAGAGCATGATCACTCGCGCCTAATGATCCTTCCACTTCTACCCCACTAACCAGGTCATCAACATTGGTTAGGACCAGATCTAAAATGGCTGTTCCTCTTGTTGCTTCTCCCACTTTCTGGACAATGAAGTTGTCTGCAAGGCCAGTGAGGAATCTGTTTGACCTTATGCTCTTGGCTGAGTTTGACATCCAACAAATATCCGGGTAATTGAAGTCCCCCATTACTACTATCTCCCTTCCTTTTGCATACTTGGCCATCTGTTCCAGGAAGGCATCATCTATGTCCTCCGTTTGGCTTGGGGATCTATAGTAAACTCCCACAGTGAGGTCACTGTTATTCTTCTCTCCCTTAATTTTGACCCAAATGCTCTCACTTTGGCTTTGAGGTTCTAAATCTTGGATCTCTTCACAGGTATACACATCCCTGACATATAACCCCACTCCTCCTCCTTTCTTGTCTGGTCTGTTTCTCTGAAATAGATTGTATCCCCCCATTATTACATTCCAATTGTGGGACTTAATTGATTGGTTGCAATACCATCAATTAAATGATGTGTTTAACATTGATAAGAAAAATGGGTTTAGTAAGGAAATTTCAAGGTTTGAAAAAGAAAACAATGTGAAGTTACTTTCCAAAATGTATAAGTTGTTCCTAGAATGGCATACTATAGATGAGGAATTTAAATTGGTAATGATACAATGGGCAAAAGATATTGGGCACAATATTCAATTTTCATCTTGGGGAAAGTTATGGCGGGAGGACTTAAAATTTACAGCATGCTGTGCATTGAAGGAGAACTATATGAAAATGATGTAATACCTACAAAATTAGCAAAGATGTATAGAACTACTTCAAATATATATTGGAAGGGTATAGAGAAGGAAGGCACGTTCTACCACATGTGGTGGATGTGCAAGATAACAAAAAGATTCTGGGAAATGATATATAATGAGCAGAAGAAATGTTTAAAACAACGTTTGGGGGGAGGCAGAAGCTTTTTTACTAGGAATTTCAGATTTAGAGATACCAAAGGATCAGAAACGATTATTTATGTATGCGAGGACAACAGCATGGATACTACTGGCCCAAAGATGGAAAAAAGACGAAGTCTTGACCAGGCACGAATGGTTGATGTAGATGATGGACAACAGCAAAATGGCAAAAATGGCCAGGGAAATCAGAAACCAGGACATAGTAACTTTAATAAGGAATGGGAAAAAATATACAATTTACTTAAGAGAACACTGTAAAGAACTAAAAACTTTGACAGGATTTGAGTAACGCTTGCAATGTACTAAAAGCTAAGGTAAAAATGGATTATTTTAAGAAAAATAGAGAAAATATATCATGCATATATGATTTTCCATCAATTTGTCTAATTCCCTTCTAAAGCCATTCAAATTGGTGGCATTGACTACCTCTTGTAGAAAATTCCATAGTTTAATCGTGCTAAGATGTAAGTTTGTAACAAAACAGTGGGAAGAAAATATATTTAAGTGAGAGTCTGGATGGGGGGGAAGGTTGGCCATGGGAAAGGGGGAGTTCACCTCCCCACCTCTTGGAAATAATTTAACAGGTATTCTGGGCAATGGCTTCAAGAGTTTTAATTAATGAGTGTTTTATTCATTCTATTCTATTCTATTCTATTCTATTCTATTCTATTCTATTCTATTAAAATGCTTTTAAAATTGAACCCCTTTTAATTTAGAAGTATTAATTGACTCTCACCTCCTCCTTTGTGTGTCACTTAGCAAACTGCAAAACCAATTAATAATAATGTTAATGATAATAATAATAATAATTAATAATTCATGAAGTAAACTTTTGCTTCTGTCTTCAGCATTACCTCTGCACTGCAGATATAATTATAACAAGACTGGACTGACATATAATGGCTATGTTGAAACAACTTGTGACTCCGATGAAGATTCCTGTGAGGCCAGTGTTCTGCGTACAAATATAAGTAAGATTTGCCTGATTTTTTTTGTCTTTTTTGTCTTTTTTTGTCTTTTACTGTTTGATTAGATCCAGGTTAAGATAGTTGAACTTTAAGGGTTCTAATAGCATATAGACGTCTACGCTGGGGCAACTCACCTATGAAAAAAGTGAAGTGAGGAAGCTGTGGCACTTCAGCTGTAGATGAATTAGAACTCTCATCAGCCTCAGCTGGCCAGGCCACCAGTCAGGGATGATGGGAGATGCAGTCCAACAACATCTGGAGGATCACAGCTTCCCATCCTGAAGTAAGGAATGGCTTACATTTGAAAATGGGGAATCTAACATCACCTGCTCACAACCAGTGGCTGAATCTGGGTGCTTATCTCCAAGCATGGGGAACTTGATTTGCATTAACTAGAAATCCCCATTGACCCAAACCAATGGACTCCAATTTAGTTTTAGTTATCAAACGAGACAATAAGCCTAGAATATAACCTGAATATCCCCTTTGCCATAAATAACATTGAAATAGAGACTCCTTTCACAGATCTATAAAAAAACTAATCAAAAGCTGAGCAATTGGGATGGGAAATGAAGGTGCTTCACACTTTCATGGCTCCCCCTCCCCCCTCAAGTAATTTTGAAATAACTCTCAGTGATGAAATGATTAGGAAGGAACCAACATTAAGGGAGTATTCTTGTAGTTCACCTATTAAAAAGGGTTTCAGTTACCCAGCTTGATTCAGTGTGGGCCCCTCCAACCTGATGAACTTCTTTCATACTTCAACATTGGTTAAGGTTGTTTTGATCCCCTTGCTTGATCCTGATTCACCCACCCCCTCTACCTAGAAGGACATGAGTGCCATTTCTGGTTCGTCTGAGGCGCCAAAATGCCTCGGGGCAATCCTGGGTGGGATGGTGGTGCTCACTTGACCATCTGTTCCAACATCACTGGTACATTCTTGGAGGGAGAGGGGCAAGTGGGCAGTAAGGCTGGTGCAATGCAAGTGTCTTGCCAAGTGTCTTGCACTGGGCAACAGGAGTTCAGGGAAGCATTTCCCCCACCCTACAAACTGTTATGATCGACTAGCAGAGAGAGTGCAGCGTATGGCACATGTATTGTCTGATGTATAGGAGAAGGCATGAGTCCTCGTGCTTGAAATTTGATGTGAAATGAAGTTCTGTATACATTCCAAATTTAAAGCATTATACAAATTAATTGCAAACATAAAAAAAGAGATTGGTCCTATGGATTAATGAGGCAAGAGACTACTGCTTGTGGCAGAGAGCTGAACTCATAAATGCCTGCAGAAGACTATTCTGTTCCACCTGGGCTATGCAGAACATTAAGAATAGATCTTTCCACACTGGTTAATTGATATCTATTGATTTACTTTTAATGTGGTTTTTCTTGTATCTTTTACCATATTTTTCGCTCTATAGGACGCACTTTTCCCCCTCCAAAAATGAAGGGGAAATGTGTGTGCGTCCTATGGAGTGAATGCAGGCTTTCGCTGAAGCCTGGAGAGCGAGAGGGGTGGGTGCGCATCGACCCCTCTCGCTCTCCAGTCTTCAGGAAGCTATCCGCAATCCTTCAGAGCACGGTGGGAACTCCCGCCGGGCTCCGAAGGCTTGCGGACAGCAGCCTGCAGCCCGAAGCCCGGTGAGCGGGCTTTGGGCAGCTGCGCAACTTTGTCTCCGCTCCAGGACCTGTTCTGGGGGCTGGGGTCGGGGGAAGCTTGGGCTTCCCCCGCCCCAGCCCCACGGCTAAAATCGAAGCCCCACGCAGCCTCTCCCGGCTGGAGAGGTTGTGCATGGCTAAAGAGGAATCCAAGACAGCCAGTGGGGTGGATCCCACTGGCTGTCTTGGTTTCTTTGCTCTTTGGGGCTGGGGGGGGGGATAAAACTAGGTGCGCCCTATGGAGTGAAAAATACGGTATGTATGAAATGTATGAAAAACATTTTGATATTTTTTCCTCTTATGTTATAGCAGTGCACACACATTTAAACAAACAAACAAACAAACAAACAAACAAACAAACAAACAAACAGCACCTTACTTTTGATTGCCAAATTTAATAATACTTTCCATATTGTTAGTTTGAAAAGGTCCTGATTGAGGCATCAAAGAAAATTGGAACCATTACAATGAATGTGCCTTAGGAGCAATGGTCCTGAATATTTTTCCCAGATCTAGATATTTCTTTCAATTTCTTTTTCATAGGGGGACACCGAGTGCAACTTTTGAATCAATGCAGATCATCCGATGATTGTTTCCCAGGCAGTTACAGCTTCACTGCAGGGGATGGTAAATTCTTTGAGATGAAGCAGTTCTGCTGCAAGACTGAACTGTGTAACAATGCAACTCTCAGCCGTAAGTTTCTGTATAATTTTAAAATCCTCAACATGTTAGGGCTTTGCATTGGATTTGGCCAAGGACTGGATCCTTAGTCAACCAGCAGTACTCAGAGGACCTGGGCCTCATTCAAATGGGGTGAGTCAGCCCCAGATGGCTATATGGGTTGAGCAGGTCAGCACTATTAGGGCCTCTCAAGGCGTGGAGAGGCAGGCAGGACGAAGAAGCAGGCATGAGGAGAAACTGTGAAGAAGAGGGACCTACTGGGCAGCTACATCTCTGCCTGAGAAGGGATGGGTTCCCTTTCCAACCAGGCCTTGCCTGAATCTGTCCCATTGTCAATCCTAAACCCAGACTGGGTCTAGATAAACTTTTCATCCAATAATACTTGCAGGTGCCCCACCAAAACTGTAAAACCCTTGGGTGAATTACAATAATATAACATACAGGTACAAAAACAGATACAGTGGTACCTTGGGTTAAGTACTTAATTCATTCCGGAGTTCTGTTCTTAACCTGAAACTGTTCTTAACCTGAAGCACTACTTTAGCTAATGGGGCCTCCAGCTGCCGCCGTGCCGCCGGAGCACGATTTCTGTTCTCATCCTGAAGCAAAGTTCTTAACCCAAGGTAATATTTCTGGGTTAGCGGAGTCTGTAACCTGAAGCGTATGTAACCCGAGGTACCACTGTAAAACCATTAACATGCTCACTATACTTTTGATTTTGGCAGTTCCTGATCGCAACGTGCTGGCTGAAAATGGCCTGAAGTGCCCAGCCTGCTTCTCCAAAGGAACCACACACTGTAAAAGTGAGAAGACCATCAACTGCCTTGAGAATGAGACCCAGTGTGTTGTTTTTAAAGGATCTCTTTTTAGAGGTAACATTGCTACTTAGACAGGGGAAAGGGCCTAGTCATCGGATGGGTCACACAGACTCACCCCTGTTCTCCTATGCTCCCCCTCCCTTCCCTTTCCCTTGCATATTACTAGAAATGTGAGAGGGTCCACATCTCTAACTGGCCCCATTCTGCACCCTTCCTTAGTGTTTTGCCTGCCTGGACTGTGTCCTTTAACTCTCATAATGCCACTTGCTTGTCCAGAAGGAGTATTCCCCTTGGCTGGGGAGGGCGGGGTATAAATAAATAAAAATTATTATTATTATTATTATTATTATTATTATTATTATTAAAAACACCCTTCTGAACAAAAGTAAAAAGTGCATTCATTGCTTCACCCCAGTTGCATCTGGATCTGTCCACCATTGGGTTGCAGTCGAGGACAAAATGTGTCCCCCTTGCTCAAAAAGCACATTTATTATGTAAAAGGCATGTAACAAGTTTTCTTAAATTCTGTGACAATGAGCAGTATCTGGCTAACTAATTCTGTGCACCAGAATTTCTGCTCTTGGAAACTTGTAAAATAAAAGGAGGATTCTATGGATGCTTAGATCACAGTGGGGCAATGAGGAAGCCTCAGTGGGCATCCAACCATCCTGAGAGACAATGAAGTGCATCTCCAGCTTTTTGTTTGTGTGTCGCTGCATCACACTGTTGTCTCATGCCAGGTTAAAACACTCAAGGTTCCCACACCAGGGAGGGAGTGTTGTTTTCAAATCTTGCTGTGTGGCCACAGCATGTGATTTTAACTTGCCCAGGAGATAGCAGGGATAGAGTTCCTCCCATTTTATTGCAACTCAGCTGCACACAAGAATTTGATCTGCTTAATCTAGTTAATTAGGCCTGTTTTCAGATTCTCTACTTTCATTATATTTTATAAATATAATGTCAGAGGCTGGACTGAGGAGGAATGGTGGGAGCTGCCCCCTTCTTTTCTGATTTCCTGAAGCCTGACAGATAAACTGTTTATTAATAATCTTGAGACTCCTTTGGGTATGATGGCAATTCTGAATTACATATGAGTTTATTTTTATCCGAACTTCATGTTGAAAATTTTATTTATTCATGTTCTAATGAAATTATATTTTTCAGATTTCTTAAATATACACATTTTAAAAACTAACTAAAATTGTCATTTAGCCTCACAAGCACAATCTCCTAGTACATGGGTAAAGGACTAATGTCAACATTTCTTTCCTTTTCTTCTAGGCCTCAAACAGCTCCACGATTTCACGTTCCAAGGCTGTGGAACAACAGATTTTTGTGCCATCCACAGAAGAAGACTTGGATCTGGCGGATTAGCCCTTTTTATTACCCAAAAAAGATGCTATAATGCTTCAGGAATCTCACACCAGCCTGAACATGAAGGGTAAATAGGACAGTGTAGACCTCCTCCTTGTGCATTGCAAAATCCATGGCAATGAGGGGGAACTGGAGGCCTAGTGGTGAAATCCTGGACTCAGGATCTGTGGATCTTTCTATTTTGCTTTTGGTGGGGGTAAAGGGAAGCAAGGGGCAGAGAAAAATGGGTCAAAAATGTGTGGGTTGTAGATTCTAACTACAAAGAACCCTCTAGTGTATCACTAACAAATAATTTTTATTATGATCATTACAAAACAAAATAAATGGTTATGGGAAATAAAATGTTGGTTCTTAGTTCTGTTTCAGATACAAATGCAATTATTATTTGTTGGTTTAGCTGAAGCAATTACAAAATATGAAATAAATAAAACAGGATAAACGCAGAATAATTTTTCCTTCTTTTAATCGTCACTGTAAAAGCAGAACAGACCACTTTTTCAGAGGTGTATGGGCACTTGTCGCTTAATAAAAAGTTAATCATATACCCAATCTATCTCTCAGTTGAACAAAACTTCTCTTAAGTCCTCATTGTTGTTGTTGTTGTTGTTGTTTAGTCGTGTCCGACTCTTCGTGACCCCATCTACCAGAGCACGCCAGGCACTCCTGTCTTTCACTGCCTCCTGCAGTTTGGTCAAACTCATGCTGTTAGCTTCGAGAACACTGTCCAACAATCTCGTCCTCTGTCGTCCCCTTCTCCTTGTGCCCTCCATCTTTCCCAACATCAGGGTCTTTTCCAGGGAACCTTCTCTTCTCATGATGTGGCCAAAGTATTGGAGCCTCAGCTTCACGATTTGTTCTTCCAGTGAGCACTCAGGGCTGATTTCCTGAAGAATGGATAGGTTTGAACTTCTTGCAGTCCATGGGACTCTCAAGAGTCTCCTCCAGCACCATAATTCAAAAGCATCAATTCTTCGTTGATCAGCCTTCTTTACGGTCCAGCTCTCATTTCCATACATCACTACTAGGAAATCATAGCTTTAACTATACTAAGTCCTCATAGATGGGACAAACCAGCAAGTAGTTGGGTAGATATTCAGGAACCCCTATCTCCATGTAGGCAAACCTTTTATACCTAGGGCATCCGGTGATAGCATCCTTCAAAAAAGACGGACTTCATACACTGGAGTCACAGAGCTGTAAATGCTTTCCCCCATTTGGTATTTGTGATGCTGGTTACATAGTGATGGTGTTGAATGTGTAGTTTGGCATATCAAGGTGCAGGATGGTCCCACCCATGAGGCAAGGTGTGGTGACCATCTTAGGTGGCTGGATTGATAGGGGTCGTCAGGAACATGGCCCCCCAGAGCATAGCAGGACAGTCAGTCTCAGAAATTGAGCTGAGCTAGCAAAGGGATAACTCTGCAGATGCGAGCTGTCTGAGTTTAGAGAGGACAGCCCACCCCCTTTTCCCCAGGGAATAATCTGTTTGTTCTCATGAGGAAGAGAGGAAGAGTTGGAAGCCAGGCAACCATCAGATAAGCCAGAGTCTGAGGCTGTGTCTTCTGGGGAAGAAAGGTAAAAAAGGTAAATGCCCCCTGGACAGTTAAGTCCAGTCAAAGGCAACTATGGGGTTGTGGCGCTCATCTCGCTTTCAGGCCAAGGGAGCCAGCGTTTCTCCACAGACAGCTTTCCTTGTCATGTGGCCAGCATGACTTAACCACTTCTGGTGCAACGGGACACCGTGACGGAAACCAGAGCGCATGGAAACGCCGTTTACCTTCCCACCACAGTGGTACCTATTTATCTACTTGCACGGGTGTGCTTTTGAACTGCTAGGTTGGCAGGAGCTGGGACAGAGCAACGGGAGCTCACCCCGTGATCGGGAAGCCAGGAGGCTCAGTGGTTTAGACCACAGTGCTACCCGCATCCCTCTGGGGAAGATACAGGCCAGCAATTCAGTCCCTGAATGAGGAGACTGGAGAAGCTTTAAGAGCAACAGAAGTGAAGGAGAAGAAAGGCGGGATTTTGGCATTCATGGATACAATGTTTGCGGGATTTTGGTGTTCATGGATACAATGTTCCAAGACCCCCAGAGGCTGGCTGTCACTTCCAGGCAATTGCTTAATTTGAGGCAGAGGAGTAGAAAAGTGATGCAATTTTGGTTGGAGTTCAATATGTGGTGACAACAGCTGGAGTGGGGGGATAAGCCCCTCATGGCGTTGTATCGAGCCGGGCTTAATGGGGACTTACTGGATGAACTGGCCAGGATGCACCCCCTCCTCATTAGAGAGCATGGTACAGGCTTCTCTCTGCAACTATGGAACGAAGGATCAAAAGTAGGGGGCCAGGCAGGCAGCCATTAAAGATGGCTGGCATTCCTGATATTTCAGCGCGAAGGTTTGGCAGTATGCCCAGAGAGGAACTGGGGGAGGCAGGCTTCAGACTTCGTCGGCTGAGCGAGAGAGAAGGAGAAGAGAGAGGCTGTGTTTTGTCTGTGGCATGCCATGCTCTGCATGTGTTTTTCTTGTAAATAAATTACATAAAACTGATGGAGAGTCCTCGATGCTTATCCTTGGCCATTAGGAGGTGCTGCTAGTCTCCTCCAGTCCTTGTTTCCTGTGGATATATATATATATCTATATATATAAAAAATCTTTATTGAGGTCCAAAGACCTATAGAACAATTTCAGAAGAAAATACAGTTAAGACAGCCAACCACAAAAGAGAGAGAGAAACTGAGGTGGTCATTTTGTTTTGTCTCGAGCTTGATGATCTTTGTTTCATTTGACTTCCCAAAGAAACTTTGCCATGGCCAGTGTAATATCATCAAACCTGTCATCCAAAAGGTATTTAATATGACAGGCTTCAGATTTTTCTGGCAGATTTGCTGGTAGGGGTTTGATCATTTGGTCCCTTGCTTGTTCGTACTGCCCATAATGCAGTAAGATATGCTTCATGCAGTCGATGTCCTGAGGACATAAAGCCTATTCTGATAAGTGATGCTTCTCAGTCTACCATTTAGCACTTCTGAAGGAAATACATTTAGTCTGGCTTTGGTAAATAAATGCTGATAGGTCAGTACAGACAGGTTCCTAAGCTATGAGGATATCTGAAAGTCATACCCATATTGGATTCCTGCTGCTACCGGGCCACAGATTAAATGGGGTTGAGATTGCAGGTCCCTATGTGAAATGTTTCCTGTGGAGATCTTTATTCCTCACCCTCACATTGGTCCTGATGTCGATCTTCACTTAACCCCTTTTTCCCTGGAATGGGGAGGTACTATTTTGTGGTTTGCCTCAGCTGCCAACATGTCTTGGGCCAGCCTTAGCAAGGAGCACATTTGACAAGACAGGCAGAAGTGTGATGAGCACAGAAATAATGCTTTAAAATATGAGATTTCATATGGCAAGGTGCCATCTCACTAGCTAGCACATTCATACTCATCAATAAAGTGTAGCATTTCCTTATACCTAGCTAGAGGCTCCCCACTGTTATAAGTCAGCATCTCATTGAAACCTCCACCTCCTTTTAAAATTCCTAAGGGAAAGGATATGCACTCTGACGACTGAGCAAACACCAGCTTCCCTAGGAGCCAACTCCTAGGGGGCAAGGGGTCCTCCAATAAATTGTCTGAGGGAGCTGCCCCCAAAGTTGAGGGGCATTGCCATTCAGATGGT